TCCCCTGTATAGTATCACTCTCCTGCATTCCCCTGTATCCAATAATCATCAATTTTTTCAACTTTAATATTTCTATAAATAGCATGTGAACAAAATTGCGTCGCGCGGTATCTACACATCAGGCAAGGGGTCTTCCTCAGTGGGTTTGACAGCCTATGTCACCAAAGACCCTGACACCAAGGACCTTGTGCTGGAAAGGTAGGTATATCGCTATTCGTAGTGCAAGTCTGCCATCACGTGTTGCGTATATCGGTGGCTGTTTCTTAGTATATCTTTTTGTATCATGCAGCTGTTGCTATTTATAGTATGCAACCGCTGCTGTTCGCAGTATTATTGCTATTTCGTTACTGTCTGTAGTACGTCGCTGTTACTGTTGCTGCACATATCCGCTCCTGTCTGTAACGATGATCCCATTTTTAAATGGCGTTCTCACAGTTGTCCTGATTACTTTCTATCTTCCCGTGACGTATTAATTCCTTTTCATGAGCGCTGATTTTGTTGTGCCTTGCCCAAATGCCGATGTTGAAAAGTTTATCGAGTATATTGCCTCTGTCGCTTTATGACTTCTAGACTTGTTCGTGTTTTTAGGGTTTTTAGGGTTTTGGTCCTCAATTCCTGGCGCATCGTTCTTGCACACACTATCTTCTCTATAGTCCTTCTTGCTTTCGATGTTCATGTGCTGACTGACGAAGGCATGGGATACATCTGATTTAGCTAACGCTATAGTCCTAAAACTCTCAAATCGGCATCTGATACATCCACCACTTCATACTGTCGCCCCAAATATTTCTGAAATCTTTCCCGAACGAGTCCTAAATTCCTGGTACCTGTCCTGAATTCCTGTCCTGCCCTAATTTTCTCTCGCAGTGGTGCGCTGGTGCTCAGTGATGGGGGCATTTGCTGTATCGATGAGTTCGATAAAATGGACGATAGCACGCGCTCGGTTTTGCATGAGGTTATGGTAAGTGTCCTCTCATACACAAAGGTGATACATACATGCATATAGTGCCCTCACATATGTGCATACACTTGCATATTTACACATATGCATATCTATATATAGTGTGCATCCAGTGTGTATAAGTTTGCCTGCATGCTGATCGCGTATTTTAAGTGTGATCAAAGTGGCGATAACACCCGCTCGGATGTGCATTAAGTCTTGGTAAACAGTAGCCACATTTGAATTTTATACATTGATGAACAAAGTGTACTTACACATATGTTTTTACTTGTTACCATATATCTACCCACCTCCGTGTGCATGATTTTGTTCTGGAAATCTGGCTACGCATATACACTCATACGTACGAGCGCACATACTGCATACATACTGCATACATACCGATGAACACACCTGCACGAATCTTTCAATGTAGTTATATCTAGTTTATGGTCAATTTATATGAAGCATATATATATATATATATATATATATATCAGCAAATAGCATATTAGGCATACGTATATATGGCGACGTACCCATCCTCTACTCATCGTGCTTGACTTTTACCACTACTTGCATTCCTTAGGAACAACAAACTGTATCCATTGCGAAAGCTGGAATCATCGCCACCCTAAATGCACGCGCGAGTATTCTTGCGGCAGCCAATCCCAAGCACTCCCACTATGACACCCAACTGACTGTTCCTGAGAATCTCAACCTTCCCCCACCCCTGCTGTCCCGGTAAGTTGTATATATATAGTTTTATATAGTTATAGATATATAGATTTAATATTTATTTATATACACGCATCTACTGAATTTCTTATTTATCTTCACATTTGATCGGAATGGATCTTCTCACAATTTTTTTTTGGTAGTTTTCCTTACAACAGTTTCGCTCTCGTTTTCTGTTACGTTCCGTGGTTGTGATTCAGCTTTTTTTGTCGCCTTGATCTTATATTTACCTTGCACACTTTATTTCTTCTCTCAGTTTCGACTTGATTTTCCTGGTATTGGACAACATCGATGTGGAGGCTGACAAGCGCTTAGCTAGACATATCCTGTCACTATACGATGACGAGCACGTACGGGAGAACACAGACACAACCATCGACCTCAAGACCCTCACAGGTAGGTTATATATATATATATATATGTGTGTGTGTGTGTGTGTGTGTGTGTGTGTATATATATATGTATATATGTATATGTATATGTATATGCATATGCATATGTATATATATATATATATATATATAGT